TGTATGACACTGTCAATATAAGGTCCATTATAAGGACTGTAAACTGCCCATACAAAGCTAAAATTCCTCCAACTTGTAAAATAATTCAGTCTGAAATTAGAGTCAAGCATTGTCACTAAGGTGACATAATTCACTGCAAATTGTCAAATCAAACTTAAATAGTAATGAAAGTTTAAGATGAAGTTAAATAGTTAAATGTCAACAAAAACATGACCAGTCAACCTCTCTTGATATCTTGCTCTTTAGTTGTTCAAACACAAAAATATTTTTTAGACTGACGTTGACCTTGACATGAATGTCATAGTGTATGAAATATGCAAAAATGGTACTAAAGAAATTGCTTATTGAAAAACATTCAAGGGAAGTCTTGAAAGTCTATGAAGAAAATCCAGTGAATTCAGGTTAACATGCTGAAATCTTCAAAGTGTCACAGTGACCTTGAAAATTATGTGAAGGTCACCAAAATGGACTGGGCCCTACGCCTGCATTAGATGAAGCTTGGTGTCAAATATGAAGAAAATCCAGAGAATGGTTCTTGAGATATCTTGCTGACCATCTTAACATGCAGGTTAGGACACTGAAATCTTCAAATGTGTCGATGTGACCTTGAAAATTAAGTGAAGGTCACTCAAATCGACTGGGCTATGCGCCTTCCCTGGATGAAGCTTGGTGTCAAATATGAATAAAATCCAGAGAATGGTTCTTGAGGTATCTCGCTGACAAGCATAACATGCAGGTTAATATTCTGAAATCTTAAAAGTGTCACCATGACCTTGAAAATTAAGTGAAGTCACCAAAATCGACTGCGCCCTGCGCCTGCCCTAGATAAAGCTTGGTGTTGAATATGAAGAAAATATAGTGAACGGTTCTTGAGATATCTTGCCGACAAGAGTAAAACGTTAAAGTCCCCTTGTAACCTTGAAATTAAGGTCAAGGTCACCAAACCTAACTGGGACCTTTCTTATACTGTGATGAACCTAGGTACCAAATATGAAAAGAATCTAGTCAACGGTTCTTAAGATATTCCAATTCGGATGGACGGACGGGACCTAATAATATATCCCCCGCTTCCGCTAAACGCGCGATGGGGGATAACAATCAACATGTCCACTACTACACTAGTATTTGTAAAGAAATTGTGTTTCAAATGATGATGATAAACATGGTGACGATCAGGCAACACTGAGGTCAGACTATCTCCTAACTGGCCAACCATTAGAAAACAGAGGTTTTCAGCTATTTTACCTTGAAGAAGTGTGAGTTACCAAACATTCCTGCCAGAGTCTGGTGGGGGCAAGCATGTGATCCTGGTGGCCTCAATGGTCCCATACCACAGTCTGGTAGGGGCAAGCATGTGATCCTGGTGGACACTGGCCCATACCACAGTCTGGTAGGGGCAAGCATGTGATCCTGGTGGACACTGGCCCATACCACAGTCTGGTGGGGGGAGCATGATCCATGACACACCCATACCACAGTCTGGTGGGGGCAAGCATGTGATCCTGGTGGACACTGGCCCATACCACAGTCTGGGGAGGCAATGCTGGTGATCCTGGTGGACACTGGCATACCACAGTCACAGCATGTGATCCTGGTGGACACTGGCCCATACCACAGTCTGGTGGGGGCAAGCATATGATCCTGGTGGACACTGGCCCATACCACAGTCTGGTGGGGGCAAGCATGTGATCCTGGTGGACACTGGCCCATACCACAGTCTGGTGGGGGCAAGCATGTGATCCTGGTGGACACTGGCCCATACCACAGTCTGGTGGGGGGGCAGCATGTGATCCTGGTGGACACTGGCCCATACCACAGTCTGGTGGGGGCAAGCATGTGATCCTGGTGGACACTGGCCCATACCACAGTCTGGTGGGGGCAAGCATGTGATCCTGGTGGACACTGGCCCATACCACAGTCTGGTGGGGGCAAGCATGTGATCCTGGTGGACACTGGCCCATACCACAGTCTGGTGGGGGCAAGCATGTGATCCTGGTGGACACTGGCCCATACCACAGTCTGGTGGGGGCAAGCATGTGATCCTGGTGGACACTGGCCCATACCACCATAATCTGGTGGGGCCAAGCATGTGATCCTGGTGGACACTGGCCCATACCACAGTCTGGTGGGGGCAAGCATTTGATCCTGGTGGACACTGGCCCATACCACAGTCTGGTGGAGGCAAGCATATGATCCTGGTGGACACTGGCCCATACCACAGTCTGGTGGGGGCAAGCATGTGATCCTGGTGGACACTGGCCCATACCACAGTCTGGTGGGGGCAAGCATATGATCCTGGTGGACCCTGGCCCATACCACAGTCTGGTGGGGGCAAGCATGTGATCCTGGTGGACACTGGCCCATACCACAGTCTGGTGGGGGCAAGCATGTGATCCTGGTGGACACTGGCCCATACCACAATCAGCTTTGACTTGCTGATCAGTGAATATATTTGGATTAGTTGTTGGTGGTTTGTACACAACTACAACTAGGAGTGTGAAATCAGTGTGGATAATACATCCAAAACTACCAAAAGGCACCAGTTCATTGCCAGATCTATCTATGTAAGAAGTTTGGTAAAGAAATATAAAACGGTTTTAAAGTTCTGCTCCAGAAAAGAGCACCAACACCAATTTCAGTCAAAGTCAACTTTGTTGCCATGGAAAAAAAAAACCTTGTGCATGCAGTGTAAGACCCAGCCACACTTCATGGTGACATTGTTGTTAAATCCCCCCGAGAGCTGGTCTTTGCTAAATGCAAAGGTATTGAGACCAGACACAACATGACTTGTACATTACCCATTGTGAAAGATCAAACATACTCATCATTTCTACAGGAAGAATCAGAAATTTGGTAAACTGCACTAGACGACATGAAGTGTACAAGGCTAGAACACCATTAGTTAGCACAAGGTTGATGTCAGTTGTGTGATTCCTGTAATTGTTCACTTACATGACAGTTCTCTTACAAGTTCTGAGGAATGTGACTAAATTCTTTTCACACAACCCGATCCAATGTTACCAGCCACATGTGCATGCAGGTTTGCAGATGAAATGGGGCATGTACTGTCTGTTTAAACTTTTCATCATTTGTGTGATACATTAACACAAAACATGTATCTGTCAGTATGTAAGAACTTAATACAAGATCAACATATGTGCCCTGAGTCAGCTGGAGCCAAATCACACAAACTGATTTCAAATGGTATTTTCCAGTATTTACACATATTTTATGAGTGAGTGAGTGAGTATTGTGTTATGCCGCTTTTAGCAATATTCCAGCAATATCACGGCGGGAGACACCAGAAATGGGCTTCACACATTGTGGGGAAGACCCGGGGAATCGAACCCGGGTCTTCGGACAGAATTAGAATACATCCATGGGCTTAGCATTCAGTACAGCCTTGGAACAAGGCTAGGTCTTGGACCAGCATCATGTGCAGTGCTGGCTTTGTCCGAGTACATGAGACACCATCTTGACCCCTTGTAACCAGTAGATGTCCTTACTCTACAAGACTTAACAGACTAGATTGTCACAGTATAGCGCTGCCTGCACATGTTAGGACCCAGGTTATGTTGGTTATGATTATTGTATGTTCCTGTCTGCAAGAGGTCAGTTTACATTTCTCTGTGACACCATGAAGTTGACAGGTTAGATATACATATGTCCAAGAGACACTATATGACGTTCATCACAAAGTGGTGGTAATATTTGTGTTAATGGTCAACAGCACCACAGTAACCAAGGCTAGGCTGAAGGTGAAGCCTTTCACTCTGGACCAAGGCTTATACATGTAAGGTCATCCATCATAGATTAAGTCATGAATAACGAGAAGTGATATAGTTGCACAGCTCTTGCAGGCTGGCTGACGGCTAGTGTCCAGTGCACCAATGATTAACAAATGGTATTAACATCATGACGATAAGTAAGTGTTTCCAGACATGTCATAGCTATGAGGTAATTAGGGTTTGGAATTAAATATTACATTTAGAAAAATGTTGTCCCTAATCAGTTGTTGTCAGTGTAAATAGCTGTGCTGAACTCAAGTGCAATATGTCAAAGGCATCTAGTTTAGCTGAGGACAAAATATGAGCCCTGATGGGGATCTTTCAGTTCCACAATTATCCAAAGATTCTCGGAGGAACTGCTGTCTGACAAACAATCAAAGACAAACACAATAGGTGTTTAACAATCAAAAACAAACACAATAGGTGTTTAACAATCTAAGACAAACTTACTCATGGACTGCCACCTTGCCTGAGCCTGACCAGAAGTCAACAAGTAACAAGATACAAGATATCTTCAAATACAAAGTATATATAGTACACCCTCAATGTATGCACACACAATGATGCACTCTTGTATCCTTCATGTTACATACATTATTGTGAAATCAAGAAAATCAAGAAAAGCAAGTTTTGAAATGTCACAATGACCTAACATTTTAAATTCAAATTTTAAAATCAATAGTTTGAAGAGTGCCCATATTACATATCAAATATTCATTTTAGGCATAGTGTGGTGATTGAGTTTGTGTAACTAGAGATTATCTTACAATCAATGTATGGATGAAACAGACAAAAGTAGTAGTTTTCCTTCAGCAACAGGAAACTAGACATGCTCAAAGCAAGAATATTACATATAGTCCATATAATGTTACATATTTGTGGACCATAAGTTTGTATGTCAAGGCAAAATGTAACTGGCTGGACAGCTCCTGGTTCACATAGTGTTTCTAAGCCACCAAAATATCATGTAGTAGGTAAAAAGGGAAAATAAACTGACACAGTAAAGAAAGTCTTGTTCATGGTATGTTAAAAGACAATTTATAGATATGAACATACATATATTAGCATTATCAATCCTGAAACAAATACTGAATGAAGACACACAAACAGTCCTATGAGGGTTGCCACTGGCTCAACCCTAACATATTCCACATGATTGGCACGCCACCAGTGAGTGACAGTTGCAGGCCTTGGTGAGAGCAAGGTGACATGATGACGGTGATGGGTCACCAACAGACCAAGTTGAAATACAGTCCTCCCACTAGGTGCACAAATCCCTCCACAAGTTCCTCCAACCACACTTCATAACCGGGTAGTGTTCGTTTCCAACTGTAAACTGGTCTTCCACCTAAATTTCCTACATCACCATGGCCAGTATTTACATACACCTCCCCTGCCATTTGGATACCCTATTTTGACTGATGTGAAGGTTTAAGTGCTTTAATTTCATTCATATTAAAATCTCCCCACACCTGGAATTTTAACCTAAAATGACATAAATCCTCACAGCATTGATATCACTTTCTGAACACTAGTACCAGCCTGACATGAAAGCAGTCCTGAAATCTTTGCTGTGACCTTAGGAAACTGCTTGGTTGCATGAAGCCTAATGATGGCCACTGAACACCAGTAACTTGCAATAAGTAATATTTCCAATTGTCTATGTATATGATATGCCAATCAAATATATTGACAATACTTGAATCATGTAAACATGCAACGAGTAATGGCAGGACACTACATGTTCCAAGCACACATACTGATAACACACTTCAACTTGATAATCAAGCTGCATCACATCAAACACAAACGGGCACTACTCACCTGCACTGTAAAAACAATCACTACGTCTTCAGACTTCACCTGTAACATACAAGGAAAAATCCTGATGTCTAATTTTTATGATTGCCAAACAGGTTTGCTGCTAACTAGTATGGGGTATATGTCATCAGTAGTCACATGACCAGTCATGTGACACAGCAGGATATGAGTCACAAACTTAAGGATGAAGTGTGTGCTTTTCGCTATTACGTAACACATGGATTGTACTTTATGTTTTAAAAAAGGCATAAACTCCCAAGATAGGTAAATGTACTGACATATTCAAATAAACCTCGCAACAAAGTTCAGGTCGAGAATATTGAATTGCATCAATATTATTTAACCCAATGTACTAGTGGGATTAGTTTCTTCAAGTTACACATAAACTGAGTCATTTGAAGTTTACAATAATGTTTTGTGTCATTTGTTTCGTAAAGAATATTTGTAATGAGACAGAACAAAGCCCCTTCAGATGAGTGTCTGGTACAGATGAAAGAGAGGATGTTATGACGTGTCATGTCTGCTGGCTATGTCTGTGTCACCTCTGTTGTGAGTAACAGATTAGTGCATCACCTCACCGCTTCACACTCACCCAACAACAAACAGTGCTCCAGGCAGTGTGAAACTCATACATAAGAGGCGCAAAATTTGGAGGTCACATTATGACAAAAAACAGACAGATTACTTAACTGTGAGTATATGAGTGCAAACAAAACATATTTAATATCATCCAAACTAATATATGTGTTACATAATTTGAAAAGAATAATAATGTCATTCCCACATACACTGCAGCATGATTATCAACTGCATAGCAAAAACATACACCACAAATAGTGTGGTATCTTGACCCAGGCAAACCTTTACCTGCAGGTGTTCACTTCTTTTTACCACCCCTCTTCAACCCGCCTTCAACCCATCTCCCTCTCAGTCTATCCATCATCTCTTCCCCCTCACCCTGCCTTCTCCCCCCTCCTTCACTTACCCTTCCCTCCTTCACCCAGCCCCTCTCTTGGTCAACCAACCCATCCTCCACCCAACACCTCCTTCACTCACCATCCCCTCCCTCCTTCACACAGCTCCTCCCTCCTTCACCCAGCTCCTCTCGGTCAACCAACCCATCCTTCACCCAACACCTCCTTCCTTCACCCATCCCCTCCCTCCCTCACCCAGCCCTCCTCTCACCCAGCTCCTCCCTTTCTTCACCCAGCTCCTCCTTCTTTCACCCAGCTCCTCCCTCCTTCACCCAGCTCCTCTCGGTCAACCAACCCATCCTTCACCCAGCTCCTCCCTCCTTCACCCAGCTCCTCCTCGGGTCAACCAACCCATCCTTCACCCAGCTCCTCCTTTCTTCACCAAGCTCCTCCCTTCTTCACCCAGCTCCTCTCGGGTCAACCAACCCATCCTTCACCCAGCTCCTCCCTTCTTCACCAAGCTCCTCCCTTCTTCACCCAGCTCCTCTCGGTCAACCAACCCATCCTTCACCCAGCTCCTCCCTCCCTCACCCAGCTCCTCTCGGTCAACCAACCCATCTTTCACCCAGCTCCTCCCTTCTTCACCCAGCTCCTCTCGGTCAACCAACCCATCCTTCACCCAACACCTCCCTCCTTCACCCAGCTCCTCACCCAGCTCCTCCCTCCTCCTCACCCAGCGCCCTCCCTCCTTCACCCAGCTCCCTCCTCACTCAACCAACTCCATCCTTCACCCAGCTCCTCCCTCCTTCACCCAGCTCCTCCCTCCTCCTTCACCCAGCCCCTCCTCGGGTCAACCAACCCATCTCTTTCACCCAGCTCCTCCCTCCTTCACCCAGCTCCTCCTTCCTTCACCCAGCTCCTCCCTCCTTCACCCAGCCCCCTCCCTCCTTCACCCAGCCCTCCCCTTGGTCAACCAACCCATCCTCCACCCAGCACCTCCCTTCACTTTACCCATCCCCTCCCTCCTTCACCCAGCTCCTCCACCCAGTCCCCCTGGTCAACCAAACCATCCTTCACCCAACACCTTCACTCTACCATCCCTCCCTCCTTACCCATCCCTTCCTTCCCTTCACCCAGCCCCTCCTCTCCCTTCACTCACCATCCCTCCCTCCTTCACCCAGCTCCTCCCTCCTTCACCCAGCCCTCTCGGTCAACCAACCCATCCTTCACCCAACACCTCCCCTTCCTTCACCCATCACCTCCCTCCTTCACCCATCCCTCCCTTTCTTCACCCAGCTCCTCCCTCCTTCACCCAGCTCCTCGTCAACCAACCCATCCTTCTCACCCAACACCTCCTTCCTCACCCATCCCTCCCTCCTTTCACCCATCCCTCCTTCCTTCACCCAGCCCTCCCTCCCTTCACTCACCATCCCTCCCTCCTTCGCCCAGCTCCTCCTCCTTCACCCAGCCCCTCTCGGTCAACCAACCCATCCTTCACCAACACCTCCTTCCTTCACCCATCACCTCCCTCCTTCACCCATCCCTCCCTTCTTCACCCAGCTCCTCCCTCCTTCACCCAGCTCCTCTCTCGGGTCAACCAACCCATCCTTCACCCAACACCTCCTTCACCCTCACCTCCCTCCTTCATCCATCCTCCCTTCACCCAGCTCCTCCCTCCTTCACCCCATCCCTCCTCACCATCCAACCCTCCTTCACCCAGCCCCTCCTTCACTCACCCATCCCTCCCTCCTTCACCCATCCCCTCCTTCCTTCACCCAGCCCCTCCCTCCCTTCACTCACCATCCCTCCACTCCTTCACCCAGCTCATCCCTCCTTCACCCAGCCCCTCTCGGTCAACCAACCCATCCTTCACCCAACACCTTCCTTCACCCATCACCTCCCTCCTTCACCCATCCCCTCCCTTCTTCACCCAGCTCCTCCCTCCTTCACCCAGCTCCTCTCGGTCAACCAACCCATCCTTCACCCAACACCTCCTTCACTCACCCATCCCCTTCCTCCTTCACCCATCCCCTCCTTCCTTCACCCAGCCCCTCCCTCCCTTCACTCACCACCATCCCTCCCTCCTTCACCCAGCTCCTCCCCTCCTTCACCCAGCCCCTCTCGGTCAACCAACCCATCCTTCACCCAACACCTCCTTCCTTCACCCAGCCCCCTCCCTCCTTCACCCATCCCTCCCTTCTTCACCCAGCTCCTCCCTCCTTCACCCAGCTCCTCTCTCGGTCAACCAACACCTCCTTCACCCAACACCTCCTTAGCTCACTCCATCCCTCCCTCCTTCACCCAGCTCCTCCCTCCTTCACCCTTCCCTCCTTCCACTGCCTACACCTCCATCTGTGACCCTCAGTCCCTCTTGACCCCTCCACCCCTTCTTACCCTGCCCTCCCCTAACCAAACACCTCCCTCAGTCCCCTAACCCCTCACCTTGGTCTCAACCCCTCCCTCACCCTGCCTTCTCCCTCCCTCTTTAACCAAACACCTCCTCAGTCCCCTAACCCCTCCCTTTGGTCAATCAACCCTCCCTCACCCTTCCGCTCTCCTCCCTCCTTCACCCAACACCTCCCTCAGTCCCCTAACCCTCCCTTTGGTCAATCAACCCCTCCCTCACCCTGCCTTCTCCCTCCCTCTTTAACCAAACACCTCCCTCAGTCCCCTAACCCCTCCCTTGGTCAATCAACCCCTCCCTCACCCTTCAGCTCTCCTCCCTCCTTCACCCAACACCTCCCTTGCTCCATCACCGCACCCTGTGACTAACAATTACACACATATATCCTGCACATTGCTTCTATGAATCACACACAGACATAATGTAATGTACCATTCTCCCTGCACCCAACCCAATCACAGTCCTTGTAGCAAATTATTTTCTGTGACATCATGTCTGACCAGAGCATACAAGATCAATTTGTGCATGCAGCGCTATTTGGCTGAATTATAACTGGCCGCCAGTATTAGCAAGCAGGTGCAAGGGCCGTTGGGGACAGACATTAAGACTGCAGACGCCAGAGTTAACCGCAGAAAAAACATGTCAATCAAGAATATATTAGAGAGCGTAGATGACAGTAACTACTAACTGCACTGTCACAGGCGATGGGCCATTAGGCTAACAGGGGAAGGGTGAGGGGAAGGGGGCTGTTAGAAATTGGGAAAATGAAAACATGGGAAAACCAGGGCCAATAACACAACACAAACATGTGATAACCAGGGCCAATAACATGGTACAAACATGTGATACCAGGGCCAGTAACATGACACAAACATGTGATAACCAGGGCCAATAACATGGCACAAACATGCGATACCAGGGCCAGACACATGACACAAACATGTGATAACAAGAAGACAAAGCCATCAATATCCCCCGCAATGGCAAAATACTCTTCATGATTATGTCTACGAGTTATGATTATGTCAAATATTTATGTGTGTATATAGAAAAGTGGAAGGAGAGTATTGAAAGGTTTTGAACGTTCTGCTCCAGAAAGGAGCACTGTCACCAATTTCATTCTCTGTCAAACTTGTTGTCATGGAAATGCCAAAAATATTTTATTCAGAATTCCAAAACTACCAAAAGGCACAAGTACACCACCAGATCTATCTATGTGCCAAGTTTGGTGAAGAAATAGTGAACAGTTTTAGAGTTCTGCTCCGGAAAAGACAAATTTGCACGTACCACCAATTCCAGGCTAAGTGAAACTTGTTGCCATGGAAATGCCAAAAATATTTTATTCAGAATTCCAAAACTACCAAAAGGCACCACTACACCACCAGATCCATGTATGTGCCAAGTTTGGTGAAGAAATATTGAACGGTTTTAGAGTTCTGCTCCGGAAAAGACAAATTTGCACGTACCACCAATTCCAGGCTAAGTGAAACTTGTTGCAATGGAAATGCCAAAAATATTTTATTCAGAATTCCAAAACAACCAAATGGCACCACTACACCACCAGATCTATGTATGTGCCAAGTTTTGTGAAGAAATATTGAACAGTATTAGAGTTCTGCTCCGGAAAAGAGCACTACCACCAATTTCAGTCTAAGTCAAACTTGTTGCCATGGAAACGCCAAAAATATTTTATTCAGAATTCCAAAACTATCAAAAGGCACAAGTACACCACCAGATCTATCTATGTGCCAGTTTGGTGATGAAATAGTGAACGGTTTTAGAGTTCTGCTCCGGAAAAGAGCACTACCACCAATTTCAGTCAAAGTCGACCTTTTTGCCATGGAAGCGCTAAAAATATTTAATTCAGAATTCCAAAACTACCAAAAGGCACCAGTACATCACCAGGTCCATGTATGTGCCAAGTTTGGTGAAGAAATATTGAACGGTTTTAGAGTTCTGCTCCGGAAAAGACAAATGTGCACGGACGGATTGGACCCGGACAGATCTCGATCGGACGGACGGACGGAGTCCATTTTAATACCCCCCGCAAAACGCGTTGCGGGGGATAACCAGGGCCAATAACATGGCACAAACATGTGATACCAGGGCCAATAACACGACACAAACATGTGATAACCAGGGTAACAAGAAGACAAAGTCATCAATATCCCCCGCAATGGCAAAATAACTTTCATGATTATGTCTACGAGTTATGATTATGTCAAATATTTAGGTGTGTATATAGAAAAGTGGAAGGAGAGTATTGAAAGGTTTTTAAAGTTCTGCTCCAGAAAGCAGCACTATCACCAATTTAAGAATTCCAAAACTACCAAAAGGCACCAGTACACCACCAGATCTATATATGTGCCAAGTTTGGTGAAGAAACATTGAACGGTTTTAGAGTTCTGCTCAGGAAAAGAGCACTACCACCAATTTCAGTCTAAGTCAAACTTGTTGCCATGGAAACGCCAAAAATATTTTATTCAGAATTCCAAAACTACCAAAAGGCACCAGTACACCACCAGATGTATCTATGTGCCAAGTTTGGTGAAGACATATTGAACGGTTTTAGAGTTCTGCTACGGAAAAGAGCACTACCACTAATTTCAGTCAAAGTCAAACTTGTTGCCATGGAAACGCCAAAAATATTTAATTCAGAATTCCAAAACTACCAAAAGGCACCAGTACACCACCAGATCCATGTATGTGCCAAGTTTGGTGAAGAAATATTGAACGGTTTTAGAGTTCTGCTCCGGAAAAGACAAATGTGCACGGACGGACGGACTGACGCACGACGCACGGATCGACGACGGACGAGTCCATTTTAATATCCCCCGCAAAACGCGTTGCGGGGGATAAAAAAAACTCACACAAACATGTGATAGTGAGTGAGTGAGTATGGTTTTACGCCGCTTTTAGCAATATTCCAGCAATATCACGGCGGAGTACACCAGAAATTGGCTTCACACATTGTGCCCATGTGGGGAATCGAACTCGGGTCTTCGGCATGACGAGCCAACGCTTTAACAATTAGGCGACCCCAACGCCCCCAAACATGTGATAATCAGGGCCAGTAACATGACACAAACATGTGATAACCAGGACCAGTAACATGACACAAACATGTGATAACCAGGGCCAGTAACATGACACAAACATGTGATAACCAGGACCAGTAACACGACACAAACATGTCATAACCAGGACCAGTAACATGACACAAACATGTGATAACCAGACCTCATAACATGACACAAACAGATAAGGACCATGACACAAACATGTGATAACCAGGACCAGTAACATGACACAAACATGTGATAACCAGGACCAGTAACATGACACAAACATGTGATAACCAGGACCAGTAACATGACACAAACATGTGATAACCAGGACCAGTAACATGACACAAACATGTGATAACCAGGACCAGTAACATGACACAAACATGTGATAACCAGGACCAGTAACATGACACAAACATGTGATAACCAAGGCTCATAACCCAACACAAACATGATATAACAGTGCTAATAACAAACCACTAACATGTGATAATCAGGGCTATTAACAAGACACAATATGTGATTACCTGATAATCAGGGCTGATAACAGGACATAAACATGCCATCTGAACAATGTGCAATCAAAGGATCAAAAGAAACCATCAAAGTAGAGGTGTGATTTTCCTTCCAAAAACAAATCACTAGTTTGTAATTATGTGTTGGTGAACTGCATAGCACCTAGTGATTGAGCCTCATAGAACAGGCAACAGTCTGTCATCACAGTTACCAAAAAAAACAATCAAGAGTTGATATGCATAACTGATCTTCAAATATGTGCCTAATAGATATTAAACATCAGAAAAATGTTTTGATAAACTGCATTTCTCAGAATAAAGAGAAATAGAAAATGTAATGGCAAATATGGAACTGGAAAACTCAGCAGTAGCAGCTTTAATTATTAACTCCTTATACCCCAAATATGCCAGCATTTAAAGTATCCTTGAACTGCCCACACAGGTGGCATGATCATTCTCCAATATGTTATGATGATGTCCTTGTAATTTCAGTATCAGCCTGCCACTTACATCATAAAGTTTGCAGACAATGACAAATGTGTCATTGTGATTTAAGTGTGGTTAGATGCCTCCAACGGGATCTTTAGAATATCATTAAATAGACTATTCTATGGCAGAGACAATAAACAAAACATAGGAGGACTTTGGTACCCCACCCTCTTGTATGCCCACAAACAAATAGGAATGGTGTTACACATCTCGGTCTCATTTTTTGTGCGAGGAGGTGACATTCTTTAACAGTGTTATTTAATTGAAATATGGAGTGTATACACAGTACACAAGAGAAACTGTAAATGCAGCTTGGTATAGAGATGCTAACACTGTGCAGCACAGTCAGCTGTTGGGCAGCATGGGCAGCACAGTCAGCTGTTGGGCAGCACAGCAAGCAGCTTGTGTGACTGTAGCAACCAGCCGACTATGCTGTATGTATCCACCTGTATACTGATAAACATTGCAACTGGATTTGTTAGTATTTCACTCTAACAATATCATATGAAAATAGAATATATGTATTTTTTATCAATCTTTAACACAATAACTCTTATTAGCTCTTATTTATCTTTTACATATATTTTCTATATTGTGCCATACCTATCTACGATATGGGCAATACTGCATTTCAAAGCATATATAAATATACTTATTAAGAACATGAGCGTATGGCAGCAATAATGCCACAGTGCATCTTGGAAACAACAGAAAGGTGAAAATAAAAACAGACTTTGGGGTAATGCATCACAATGGTAGAAAGTCATATCATATGACAATGTTTCCACGACAACGAGAAC